GTTTTCTCCTCTCGGGTCCTGTGCTCCCTGGGCAGCCTGGACACTGTTGGGCTTAGGGTCCACCTGCATGCCGGTGGCTCCCAGATGCCTCTCCACACCTCAGACCTCATTGCTCGCTGGACTCATTGGTCCAACTGCCGGCTGAACACTCCTCTCATACTTCACCCGGACACTCAAACTCATCACATGCAAAAAAGAATTCCGAGTCATGCTCTCCCCCAGCCCTGGCCCGGCTCCTGTGTTCCCATCTCACTCACAGGCACAGCCAACCACACGGCAGATGGCCAAGGAGAAACCCTCGAGGTGTCCCCGTGTCTCCCTCTCCCTACTCCCTACTGTGTCACATCCCCCTTCGTGGCCACAACCGCTACTGACTCACATGCAGGTTCACCCTTTTCCTGAACATTGTAGCCTCTTCCCAACTGGTCACCCCCCCCAAGTCTCCCCCTCCAGCCCCTCCCCCACATGCAACCAGAGCCATCTTCCCAATAAGCAAACGTACATGCTACTCCTCACTTAGAACCTTCCAGTGGTGCCCCACCACCTCCAGGCTGGAATTCAACTGCCTGACATGCCTCCAGAGACCCTTCTGGATTTGGGCTCGGCCAGCAACTCCAGATTCATCTTTGCCACCCAGCCTGCATGCTGGACCCCACACCTCGGCCACCAGTTCCCAAATACACGAGATGGTTCTCTTGACCCCTGGGGCCTCCAGCCAGTCAGCCAGCTGATGCCTGTTCATCCCTCAAGACCCATCTCTAGGGGATCCCTGGGTGGCATAGCGGTTTAGCGCCTGCCTTTGGCCCAGGGCGCGATCCTGGAGACCCGGGATCGAATCCCACGTCGGGCTCCCGGTGCATGGAGCCTGCTTCTCCCTCTGCCTGTGTCTCTGCCTCTCTCTCTCTCTCTCTCTCTCTCTATCATAAATAAAAATAAAAAAAAAAAAAAAGACCCATCTCTACCGCCACTTCTCAACTCCCGGGCTGGCAAGGCCCTCTGTGCCCTCCTAGTCCCCAGCCCCAAGTCAGCCTGCACCATCAGCCCGGAGTGGGGATCCAGGTCCCATACTTAGGAGGCCCAAGTCCCACAGCAGATCCTCCCTGGGGCCCAACAGCCGGGCCTTGCCAAGCTCATGGCAAGGCTTAGACACGGAGCTGAGTTCCCGGGCCTCTGCGGTGGCTGTGGCCCTCAAGAGGGCCTTCATCCCTCTTTCAAGCTCTACCTCTCTCTCCTCACCCAGGTCTCCACCTCCATGGGGAGGGGTCTCTGGGGAGCGACAATGGGGCCCATCCCGAGGCCATGCACACACCCATCAGTGCAGCCAACACCCGCGTGCACATACTCCCCTATATGGGCATGCAAGCCCCCCTGGGTGCACATGGACATCATGCAGGCCCGCCTGGGGCTGTGTATCCACACAACCCGCGGCAGACAAGATCCCGTGAATGCTCCTAACCCCACGTGGGTGCCCGTACCCACAGGTGCTCAGGGGTCCCCCGGCAGCTAGAGCCAGCCCGGGGCCACCGGCAGCGCACCTGGTTGATGACGTAGACGCCGTAGCGCAGCCTCTGTCGCCGCAGGATGGGGTGCAGATAGTGGAGCCAATAGCGGAGGTGGTGCTCCCGGTGTCGAAAGGGGATGATGACCGCCACCGTCTGGGCAGGCGTGCAATCGGGGGGCGCATAGCGGCCGCCCAGGAGCACGCCTGGGTTCTCCCTCTGCACCCGCTCCAGTGGCATGGGCGTGGTGAACTCGATCAGCAGCCGGCCCACTGCAGGCAGGGCGGTAGCAGGCATCAGGCCCTCGCCACCATCCAGGGGCACTAGCCCTCTCCCTCAGCCCCGGGCGGGCCCCGGGTGAGCCGACAGAGCCCCAGGAGTGCCCCCTCGCAACAGGCCCAGACCCCTGCACCCCCAGGGCTCCTTCCCTAAGTCAAAACAGCCGGTGGGGTCTTCCGCTCACCCCTAGGGGCAGGCCCTCCCCCCAGGCTCACCAAGACCAGGCGGCGAGTCGGGACAGGGAGGCAGGACGGAAGCCGTGGGGCCGGGCCGGGCGCTGGGAGCCTCGGGGAGCCCCGAGCTGGGGGCCGTGGCGTTGGGCCGGGAGAAGTTGGTGCTGCTGCTGGCAGCTGGGTGGAGGGCGCGGGCAGGGCCACGGGCGCTGAAGCGGCTGAAGAAGGCCAGGTGCTGGGCGTAGACGTCAAAGTAGAGGATGACGGCCACGAGAAAGTGCAGCAGGCAGAGAAGGAGCACGGCCTTGCACACGCGCTCCAGCGTCCCCCCAAGCAGTCTGCTCATCCCGCAGGCGGCCGCCGGCCCGCCCAACGGGCCCGGGCATCCGGCTGCCGGCCTGGGCAGGGGAAGAGAGAGACAGACCCAGCAGGTCAGGGCCGGCGGGGTGAGGCTACCCGCCCACCCCTCTCCTGCCGCTGCTCACACTTATTACCTGCTCATCCCCCGTGACGCTCGCAGACTCCCAATCTACCTGCTAATAGACACGCAGACACAGTCCTTGGCCATTCACTACTCACACATCTTCACGCACCTGAGGACTAACCACGTATGCAGACATTCCTCCTCCTTGCTCACACACACACACAAGTGCAACCTCATGCACCCGCACTCAAGGTGCATGCCTGTGTGTTCTCAGAAACACCAACACAGACCTCTGATCACAGTGGTTCATAACTCCAAATGGAAGCACGTTTACCTGCAGACCCACACGTGTACCTGTGCCCCAGAGAACAGACACCCCGCAGGGCAGCATCCTCAACCCAGGGCTGGGGAGGGGAGACCACTGACTGAGTACCTACCATGCAGGAGCGCTTGGTACTCATGACTTCAGTTAGTCCTCCCAGGAGCATGGTGGGCACTGGTTTGGTTGGACAGGTACCAGTGACAAGTAGGCCAGGCCAACTAGGACCAGGCTGGGAAGTGGCCCTCAGCACCCAGGAGGCCCAAATATGATCAAGATGTTTATGGGATTCCTTCTGGCTGGAGCAAGAGGTCAAAATATAGGGTGGGGCATAGGATGCCCCTCCTCTAAGACCTCATGGATTGGCATGAACTTTCTGGAGCCTGCCCAGCACTCCTGGTTCTGGTTCCCGGGGAAGAAGGAAGGTCGGGGCCCTGGACACTGCTCCCGCATCGGCAAGGCAGGCGCGGGTCCTCCCTGGGCCACGGCTCCAGCTGCGGTTCCAGCAGCGCCCCAGGGAGCAGGCTGGGTCTCACTCAGATACAGGGCACCACACGGCAACCACAGACACCCCGGGTCCCAGCTGAAGCCACCTGCACTCAGACACCCCAGGAACTACGCACAGAGTCGCAGACACGCCCCAGTGACAGTAACAGTAACGCAGAGTCACACACTCACAAACAAAGCGGCGGCTCCTCGAGGTGCACAGCCATGCATGCAGGCTCCCGGGCGGGCGCGCAGACGCCGGGCCCCACGTGCAAACATCCCTCCCGCCGCCCTCCCAGCCGGGCTTCTGGGTCAGGCCGAGGTGCGTTAGGGCGGGGCCGACACGCAGGCCGGCCGGGGCACGTGGCTCCCGGGACGGGGGCGGCCCGAGGACCCGGTGGGTGTGGAGCCGGGGAGCGTCCGTGGGCCGGGGGCGGGGGCCGGGCCGCGGGGAGCGTGAGTGGGGCGCCTGCCGCGCGCGAGGACAATAAGGGCGGCCGGCGGGGGGGGCGCGGGGGCGCGGGCGGGGGGCGCGGGCGGGGGGAGGGGGCAGCCCCGGGCCGGGGTCCGGCCGCCCGCGCCTCTCACCGGCTCCGGGGCGGGGATCGCGGGGCCGCGCTCGGGGCGCTGCTCGCGGGCCCGGGTCTGGAATGTCGGGGCGCTGGGCGGGGGGCTCACCCGGCGCTCGGGGCTCAGCAGGGGGCGCCGCTCCGGCTCGGGCTGCGTTCCCGGCTCCCGTGGCTGCGGCCGGCTCCGTCCCCCATGGCCCGGCCCCGCCGCCTCCCGCCGCCCGGTCAGCGGCCCCCGCGGCCCCCGGGCCGCCTCCCGCCGCCGCCGCGGGCCATGGAGCCGAGCCGCCCCGGGGGGCAGGGCGGGGCCGGGCGGCCGGCAGACCCACGGACCGCGGACCGACGGACCACAGCGCCGCCTCCCTCCCGCGCTACGGCGCCTCGGAGGGGCAGGCCTGGCCGGCGCGCCCGCGCCCGCGCCCGCGCGCGCCCCCGCGGCCCCCGCCTCCAGCGCGCCCGCGCCGCGCCCGCGCCCGCCGCGCGCCTCCGCCGCCCGCCCCTGCTGGCAGCCCAGCGCGGCGCACGGGGGCCGGGGCCGGGGCCGGGGCCGGGGCCGGGGCCGGGGCCGGCGGGGGGAAGGCGCACCCGGGGGCTGGCCTCGGGGTGCGGACCGGGGAGGGCGCGGGTGGGGGCTGGGGCGCCAACTCCGCCAAAGAAGGGCGCCTGGAAGTTAGGCGACTCCAGCAGGGAGGTTAGGGATCTGTGAGCTCGTTGATGGGCACAGGATTGTCTGCCCGCGGCCGCGGACGGGGCCGCCAGCTTAAAGGCATGAAGAGGGATGTGGCCGGGGCTTCTAGGGTAATAGGAGGTTGGCAAGAGATGGCACGGAAGTGGGAGGAGCTGGACGGGGCCCTGGGAACAAGCGCTCAGGTTAGGTACTGACAGGGCAAGTGATGGGCTCCAAGCCCCACAGGGCTGGAGGGTGATGGACGCCCAGTAGTAGAGCCAGAGCCAGATAGGAGATGTGGCCCATCGGGGCTTAGCAGACAGAACCTTGAAGAAGCCAGGGGAGGAGGACAGCCCCCTCGCCTGCACAAACACCTCGGGTCCATATCCCCAGACTCTCTTGTTCCCTCCAGGAAAGATGTTCAGCATCCTTCCTCTCCAACCCAGGAACCAGCTCTGTCCAGAGCAGAGACAATGTGTATGAGACAGAAATGTGCCAAGAGGGTGGCATAAGGTTGAGGCCTACAGGCCCGTTTACCCTCCCTCCATGAAAGAAAGTAGCAAAGAAGGGCAACAGAAGCAGCATTGACCCAGACGAAAACCACGTTTATTTCACAAACACTGGGAAGATGGGTTGGGGGCAGAGGTGGGACACCGGTACACAGGTGCACGCGGCCATCAATGGCCCACTCCCCACACTGAGGGTCCAGCCAGGCAGTGCCTCCAAGTTGACAGGCAGCACGCGCAGCAAGTGTAGGGGGGGCCCTGAACACCAAGCCCCCTGAAAGGCCAAGGATGACAGCTCCAGCTGTCCCGGGAAAACCACAAATAAATAAGAGTGGGACACGGCCCCACCCAAACAGATCACCTAGTCACCCATCTTCACTCTGGAGGTCTGCAAAAGAAGAACAGGAGAAATCAGGCAGAGACAAAGGAACAGATTAAGACAGTGACAAATGACAGATCAGCTCTAGCAAACCCATGGTGGGATGGGCAGACCACAACAGGTGGATGACTGGACCAAGATGGACATGGTGTGACAAACACAGGGACAGTCAGACAACTGCAGAGTCAGGCTGTGGGACACAGAGACGGAGAAGTGGCAATATGGACAGGACCAGTTACCAAGTGTCACCCCCACTTAGCACACAGTCACCTTCAGACCGTCAGGCTGATCCTCAGCCTCCCTTACACACTGTTGGACAAGACACACACAATACAGACATGCCGTCCTACTGACAGCACACATACACACAGACCCTGAGATACACAATCACACCGAGACAAACTGACACACAGACAAGATCCCAACTGCGTCTAGACTACAAACAGAAACAAAAACTAATGGAACAAAAATCCTCAACGGAAGACCTATAGGCACAAAACAACAGGAAAATACACATTACTCTTGTCAACGATACCAGATTGGAAAGCTTCAAAAGGAAAAAACAAAAAAAATGGGAATGAAGTGGTGGGAGCTGTTTAGGGGTTCTCTGGTTACAGATGGAGAAGGGAACACAGTGGCTCCTCTGAAAAGAGGGTGAGGCTGGGATAGCGGCAAGGACAGAGGCTCCCCAGGGGATTCATCACCTGAAGGATTGCAACAATGACCCCAAAGAGGCCAATGGCACTGCCAAAGATCTCCACGATGAGAATCTTTACAAAGAGGCTTGGGTTCTGTGCATCGGCCAGGGCGGCTCCACTGCCCACGATGCCCACGCAGACTCCACAGAAGAGGTTAGACAGGCCTACTGTGAGGCCAGCTCCGAACATGGAGTAGCCTGAGAGGATAAAGAGTATTGAGGCCCAGCCAGGCACAGGGGGAGAGGAGGACAAGGGCCCAACATGGACTAATGGGGACAGTCAGCACTCCAACTAGGCCAAGCAGGCCAAACAAAGGGAGTGAATGTTGAAATAATGAGTCTGAGCTGAGGCATGCAAATGGGGAAGCAGATGTGAAGCCCCAGCCTTTTTCCTTCACACATCTACCTACCTGCGTGGTAGTTTCGATGTCCAATGGCCTGGGGGTCAGTGGCACTGAAAGGCTGCAGGAGGCAGAGAAATAATCAGAATCCCCCCCACCCCTTATGCCACTCCCTCTCCTCCAGCCTCACTAAGCACTGAATAGAACACATTGGAAGAGATGCCCACACCACCCTGGTTCTCCGTACCTCAGCCATGTTGCTAATCACAATTGCCATGATGATGCCATAGATGGCCACAGCCTCACAGAAGATGATGCTGGTAGCGGTAGTGGTGGGCATGAGGAGTGGAGAGGAAAAAAAAATGAGAAAGAAATCAACCTTCCTCCCCAGAGTCCTCAGTCACCATTTCCCCCACTGACATCTCACCCCACCAGGAGGCTGGTCAGCAGCAGCATTATCAGTTCAAACAAATAGGCAGCTCCCATGCAGCTGGTTCTGACAACCCTCCAAAGGCCCTACATTTACCTGACCAAGTTCTTGGTCTTGATTCTGGGGGCCTTCACTCCTCCCCCAATGATAGAAGAGCCAGTAATATAGATGCCCCTGGCGGAAAAATAAGAAATGGATGAGCAGAGCCTGTCACTGCCCCCAGGATGACTAAGGACCCAGTGACACCTGCTATGACTCACGCCCCCCCCCAACACTCACCATGCTGCCCCAACCACAGACAAGGAGATAGCGAGACCAATGCCCAAGTTTGACCACATGAAGGGGGAAGTCTCAGTCAGGAACCTGGTGTGGAAATAGGGAAGAAAGCAATTTCAGCTTTGGTGGAGAAGGGAGCACAAAATCCGTCCTCCGACCCTCCAAGCCCACGCCAGTCCTGGATGCTGAGATAAAACACGTCACATCTCCCAAAGGTCTACACCGCAGACAGCTGGGGATGGGGCAGAGTAGGGGCTTAGATCAGTGAAGAGGAGCTGCAAAATTCTTAGGGGAATCCTCTCCCCGCCCTCCCTTACCAGGCCACATCAAAGCGGAACCCCAAGTCAAAAATGGTGTAGCAGATTCCTGCAGCGGTGAAGCAAAAAAAAAAAAAAAAAAAAAAAAAAGAGTCAGAGGCGGCTCTCTACAAAGAAACTTCCCAACTTCGTGGAGAAACTGCTGCTCGGCTGACATGCCCGTCCCCAAAGGCCCGCCACGCTAAGTCAAGGGAGACTCCTCGCCCGGCCTCCGTGCGGAAGCGCGGTATCTATTCAGGCTCCTCTGCTCAGACCTCCATTTTCCGCCACTACCTCAGTAACCGCCCCCCCCCCCCCGCCCCAGGTCACCACCTCCCAGCCCGAGCCCCACCCCCCCACCCCCGCGGCCAGGCTTGTGTGCCTGAATCCCCTGGAGCCCGGGAGGGTGCACCGGACCCCACCAGCCCAGGCTGGGCTGCTGTTTACCCAACAAGCTGAGAGGGGGGGAAGGGCAAAAGGACCCGGCAAAGAGGAACCGGAACAGCCGGCTCGTGACCCAAGCGGGCCCCTCTGGAAGGAGCGACGGACCGCGGCAGTGAGACGGGGGAGGGGCTGCTCTCGGCCCCCTCCCCGCCATCAGCGCCATCCGCGCCCCGCGTCACCGGGCCAGAGACCCGGGTCTCCCCCGGCAGGGTCACAAGAGCCGCCGGGCCAGAGGCCACGTCCCGAAGCCCCGGACACAGGGCCCGCGCTGAGGCCCAGCACTCCTGGGACCCCGCTGCTCCCGCGGCGTTGCAGCCCCGCCCGCCAGGGCCCGGCCTCACCCACGACGACCATGCAAGCCCAGAAGGCCACGAAGACCCCGGAATAGAGCAGCGCTAGCCCCGTCATGGCGGCGACGACGGCGGGGCTCGGGTCCGTGGGGCCACAGCTAAACCCGCGTCCCTGCGTCCACCGTCCGCCCCGCAGTCTGTCCGCCGCCCCGCAGCGTCACCTGACTCACCCACGTGACGCGCCGGCACCACGTGACCCCATGCCGGGCCTGGCGTCGCGGCGTTGCCGCCCGGCCAGAACTCGGCGACGCCGGAACTGGAGCCCGGAGGATTGTGGTTGTTGTAGTCTCGCGCTTCCCGAGAGGCTCCGGCATCCTTCGGCCCCCGACCTCTGGCTGGTCACCCGCGCTCCTCTCCGCCCCGCAGCCAGCCCCCCTTGGGCCCACCAGCCCTGCTTCACACGGAGCCCGCCCGCGGGCCTCCCTAGCTTAGCCTCCAGCCCCGTGCTATTCCGCGGGCCTCCTCCGTTGCTGTCCTTCCCAGTCCAGCCAGGGGACTCTCCCTCACTTTGCTCTTGCTGTTTCCTCTCCCTGAAGCATCTTCGTGCTCACCCCGTTGCCCAGCTAACGCCCATTGGTCCCCAGAAAGCACTCCTCCAGGGATCCCTCCCTAACGCAGAGGCAGATGATGGGCCTGCTCTGGGCTAACCCTGCTGCCCTGGTGATCCTTATGAAACTTAAGATCATGTCACTCTGGTTTAAAATGCCATTTCGGGCAGCCCCGGTGGTGCAGTGGTTTAGCGCCGCCTGCAGCCTGGGGTGTCATCCTGGAGACCCCGGATGAGTCCCACGTCGGGCTCCCTGCAAGGAGTCTGCTTCTCCCTCTGCCTGTCTCTCTGAATAAACAAAATCTTAAAAAAAAAGAAAAAAAAAGAAAAAACCATTTCATTCAGAATAAAAGCTAAAGTCCTAATAATGGCCTACGAGGCCTCTTCCGATGTGGCTTCCCATGCCCCTGACCTGACTTCATCTAATACACCCCTACCAACTGCACTGGCCTCCTTGCTATTCCTTGAACACACCAGCCATACCCCCACTGCGTCACCCTTGCACTCGTTCCCTCTGCTCTCATCCATGTGGCTCACTCCGTCACTTCCTTTCAGTCTTTGCTCACCCTCTTCACAAGGCCCTCCCTAGGGGACTTGTTCAATATGGCAATCCAAAAAAAAAATAATAAAAAAAAATATGGCAATCCACTCTCCTCCCTTACACTCCCTCCCAGCTTTATGGCTCTCCGTAGTACTTGCTTATCACTATTGGGCATACTAATTGTTTTACTTTGTCCATCTCTTCCCCCACCCCCCAAGGGAATGTAAGCACTACAAAACGGTTTCTGTTGAGCTTACTATTTTATGTTCAGTGACTGGCACACAGTGGCTGCTCCATACCTATTTGTAAAACAGACGATTGGTGTCCACTTTGTCTGCTGCCAGAGTTAGTTTACAGATCTGCCTCTACCAATAGACTGGGCACTCCCTGAGAGCCCGGACCTCATAGCTCCCTGTGTACCTGCTTCTTCAACACCTTGGACAGGGCGAGTATGCCAAGATTCTCTGCAAACGTGGAGATGTACGCCCCGGGGGCTTCCCTCCTCACGGAAAGTACCATTTCACTGTGTGGTAATTGCTTATATAATTGCCTCTCTTCCTAACTACACTGTGAGGACGGGAATCCAATTAAATACAATTCAGATCTCCACTCAGGACCCGTAGTGTTTGATGAATAAAAAGAAACAGAAGGAAAAAATGTATCTAGTTTATTCAAGTTTCCACACTCTCGCTGAGAAACAAAGTTACAGTCCGTGTAGACCAGCACTGTTCAATACAACTTTGTGCAATAATGGAAATGTCCTATAGATACACTGTCCTCTCCTGTGGCCAAACGAGCACTGAAATGTGACTAGTGTGACTGAGAAACTGAGTTTTTATTTTTAAAGGTTTGTGTTGTTTTTTTGTCGTCTTTTTTTGTTTTTGTTTTGTTTTTTTTTAGTAATCTCTATACCCATCATGGGGCTTGAACTCATGACTCAGATCAAGAATTGCATGAGCTGGCCAGGCACCCTGAGAAACTGAGTTTTTCAAATTGAATTTAAATTAAAAAAAAAAAAAAAAGTAAATGAGCAAACAAAAACAAATTGAATTTGGGACACCTGGGTGGCTCAGCGGTTGAACATCTGCCTTTGGCTCAGGGTGTGATCCCGGAGACCAGGGATTGAGTCCCACATCAGGCTTCCTGCATGGAGCCTGCTTCTCTCTCTGCCTGTGTCTCTGCCTCTCTCTCTGTGTGTCTCTCATGAATAAATAAAAAATCTTAAAAAAAAAACAAAAAACAAATTGAATTTAAAATAATAAAAAAAGAAACAGTTTTTAATTTTAACTAATTTAAATTCATGCTTAAATAGCTATGTGTCGAGTGGTTACTTTTTGGAGAACACAAGTCTAGACTAGTGGTTCTCAACTAGGGGCAGTTTTGCCCCCATTGGAGACATTTGTCAATGTCTGGAGGCATTTTTGGTTATCACAATTGGGAAGGGGTATGTTGGGGGCATCTAGTGGGCAGAGACCACAGACGATGCTAAACATACTACAGTACACAGGACAACCCCTCACAGCAAAGAATTCCGTGGTCCAAAATGTCAATAGAACCAAAGTTGAGAAACCCTGGTCTAGACCACCTAGAACCTTTGACAAGGGCAAACTGTCAATTGCACATCAGAAACTGGGACTGGCCAGAGGTCCTGGGCTGTTCCCAGGAGGACAGATGGGCCAATAAACCTTCAGAAAAGCCTCAAATCACTCCCATCAGTCCAAAAGTCATTTATTAAGCCACTATATGCTAAGCCCTGTGCCGGTGCCAGGACAGGACAGAGCTGGATTCCCTTCTTCAGTGAGGGGCTATCTGCCCTTCCCTGCAGTCAGGCTCTTTCAAGGTTCCTGGCAAGGAGTGAGGTTGATGCAGGGAACTTTAAAGGTCTTTGCATCAATTCTTAAGTCCATCTGTGTGTCTGACCTCACATGGTATCAGCTGTTTCCCTCATCCTCATAGGCGATGGCAATCCCTCGTCTTCCGCTCACAGCTCCTGTCACCGGTGTCTGACCCAGGCGGGGCTCCAGGCCTCGCCAGCTCCGGGAACTAAGGAACAAGGCTGCAGAGAGAGGGGACTGAGGCCAAGTGGGCCAAATCTGGGGAAAGAGTTCAGCTGGGAACAGAGACTTGGCACACTTACCTGCAGGGCTGCTCTCAGCCAGCTCTAGCTGGGGCCGCAAGTTCAGGTCCAAACATCCAGGATCATTTGATGGCTTCCATGCAGGTGGGGGTCGGAGTTCCCCAGTAATGAGTGACACATCTGGGGTGTCCCACAGTTCTGAGTCAGGTGGTGGGAGGGGCACATGGAAGGGAGAGCCTAGGAGGGAGAAAGAGGATCCATACTGGCCCAATTCCATGCCCCAAGTGTTTCTACCTCAGCCAGTACCCCAGTACTCACCAGGCAATAAATCTGCATAATGTGTGAGGTAGGGAGCCAGGCCTGAAGGTGGCCAGGCAGGGTTGCAGGCAGCTTCTAGCTCACACGGTGCCAAGATAGGCCGGAAGAGGCCACCAGGAGGCTGTGGAGCTAAAGCACCAAGAGGGCAGGCCAATAGCACAAAGACATCCACCTCAGGGAAGTTGGCGAGCTTGGGAGGCGTGGGTCGCCCCAGGGCCAACACATAGCTACGCTTGCCTGCAGCCCGAGTCAGGTTCCGCAAGTGTGCCAGCGCCTCACGGTGTCGGGCCACACCCAACGTGCCTGCCAAGAGCCCCACCACATGGGCATCTCTGGCCCTCTCTACCAGATAGTGTCTACGTGCCCTGAGCCGCCCAGCCCGGACACCTTCATCCTGAGTCTGCCCTGTATCCGGGCAGCAGGTGAAGAAAGGCTTCCCTGGTGCCCAGCCCAAAAGCAGCCGGCTCAGGTCCGGGTCTAGGTCAGCACTGGCTTCAGAGCCCCCCACGTAGAAGGCACCATATTCTTCCAGACACCTCCCTGGAGCAAGGGGGAAGCGGCGGCCAAAACGCTCTAGGGGCTCAGGCTCTGGACTACAGGAGCCCGCTGGCAAGGGAAGAGCTGGGCTGGAGACAAGCAGGTCCAGATACCGTGGGCGCAGGAGAGTGGCCAAAGCCTCTGGAAGGAGGAGGTGGTGTCAGAGTTGGAGTCTGCCTAAACAGGAACCCCTTCATCCCCAAGAGACTGAATGTGACCCAAAAGACTAGGATCAAGCCCATATCCCGAGATTTCTCTGGAAGTGTACTGAAGCGGGACTATTCGAGGAACAAAGTAGTTGGCCTACCCTTCCTGCATGCACAGGCAAAAACCCTCACCCAAAGCATGGGCACAGGCCGGCTCACTTAGCAGCACCACCGGAGCTTTGGGGTCTGGGTTCTCGGCCTCAAAGGCCTTGGCGCAGAGCTCCAAGTGCACAGGACGCTGACCGAGGACAAAGGCCACAGGCAGTGGGCGGGCTGGAGGGCTTAAGCAGGCAGGGCCAAAGTGTACAAGGGCCTGAGCTCCGGCTTGCTCGGCGCCCAGCACATCCACACAGCAGCTGCAGGGAAGATACCATTAGTGAGAAGAGTTCGCAGTCCTTCATGGAAGTGTGAAATGTCATCAGTGGGGAAAACGACGTTAGAAAAAGAAGACACTGTCATCCGGCAGAGCAAGTATCAGAAGAGAAGGGAGGCATTATCAAGGTAAAACACAGCCACTGGGGGCACACAAGGTCATAGAAGGGAAACACCCAGAGCCTTGGGTCACTAGACCTACACCCTCCCCCCACCCGACCCCACCCCACCCACCCCCGGCCCCCAGTCCTCCAGCTCAAATCCACACCTGCCGTAGGCCGTGTCGCCCAGAATGAACATCTTCGACCCCGTGGTCCCCTCCAGTCGTGCAGCCACGGCCCCAGCATCTCCCAGTAGCTGGTCAGGGAACTGCAAGGCCACCTGTAGGCACAAGCCACGGAGTCAGGAACAGCCACTCCTCCACTGAGCGCCTCTTCAAGGAAACCTTCCCCGAGTCCCTACCTAGCCTTCAAAGCCCCTCCTCTCAGAGGAACAACGCCCCCGCCCCATAAAGTTACCCCAAGATCCGGCTTCCGGGCTGCCCATCCCGAGGGGAGCCACCCTTCCCTGCCCTGCCCTCACCCGCTGACACCCCAGGTCGCGGACAAATCCAGCGACTCGCTCCAGCTCGTACACACGGTCCAGGTCTTCGGGGGGCGTAAGCAGCCCCGGGGCGCCCGCCTCCCGCTGCAGCGCAGCCTCAGCGGGGCTGCTGAACGTAGACTCCATGAGGCACAGCCCGGGTGGCGGGAAGCAGCGGGGACGTCCCTCGGTCAGCTTCAGGCCCCGCGTCCTCGAAAGCAGCCCTCGCTGAGTCACAGTTACCCAGTGAGGGCAGCCCTCGGACCTCGCCTGCACGGGTCCAAGCTCACATTTCTCCGCTACGCAGGTACCCACGCGCCCGGGATCACTTCCGGGTTCTTGAGGCGGGGTCGGCGGCAGACTCGCCAATCGTAAGCCAGCACTGCTCCCGCCCTCCAATCCCCGCCCGGCCTTCCACAGAGAACCAATGACGTGCCTCGGAGCCCGAGTCCTTCCCGCAGAGGAAGGCGCGGAGCCTTGTGGGTGTTGTAGTTCCCCGGGCCTTCTCCAGCCTCTCGCGTCCGGTTCAACCCCACCCCCCCTTCCAAGCGACTCTCCGGGCGTCTGGCTGGCTCCGTCAGAAGAGTATGACTCTTGACTGCAGGGTTGTGACCACGTTGGGGGGTTGAGATTAAGTTAATAAACTTAAAAAAAAAAAAAAAGCAGAAAAAAACCACGACTAAGTATAGTGTTTGAGCTCTCATCTGCCCTACACTGTTAAGCGCTTCATGTGCACTGCATAATTTTCAACTCAGGTGCCGAAGTGCCTGGCTTTGGAAATTGTGCTCCGCCATTACTACTTACTCAACATCTCTGTGGCTCTTTCCTCATCTGCAGGGTGGGGGTTGTAACAATAACATTCCTAGGATTGCTGTAGGATTGCTGGATCGGGTTAATCTAGATATAAAACTTCACGCATATCATGTATACTGAAAGCATTTGCTGTTATCCTCACAGCAGTCTGTCAATCAGGCGAATATTGAGCACTTAATGTTCACCAGGTACTACATTCTTAAAGTTAACAGTCTTTGGAATAAGAATTGTCCCAGAAGCACCTGGCTGGTTGTCGGTAGAGAGTGTGTGACTCTTAATCTCAGGGTTGTGAGTTTGCACCCCACAGTGGGTGTAGAAATTACTTTTAAAAAAAATCTAAAAAAAAATGTCTTATTATACGATGAGGACACTGAAGTCCTGGTGAGACACAGCAAGTCAGTGGCACAATCAATATCAAACCCAGATCTGACTTCAGAAACTAGGCTTTAGCTCCCTCGTTCTTCTAGCTTACATATGCCACATTTGATCATAGGGGATGGGGGAGGAAGAAGACGCTTGGATACCATATAGTAAGAGTAAAGGACTCAAAAGAAACATTTCCACATACTCCAGAAGTGAGAAATCAAGGATAAGGTGAAAATGGGACCAAGGAGGGGCAGGGAAAAGGGACAGAGTGGCCTCAGGGGTGGTATATGCTATATAAAAGGGGGACTGATGCTGGCTGACATGGGGGAAAAAATGAATGTTCCTCCATTTTTGTGCAAAGATTGGGAAATGAACAGGGAAGGAGACAAACATGGGAGTAACCAGTTTTCCTGTCCTCACCAAGAAGATGCAAGGTTCAGGAATGGAAATGGGGAGATCCGAGTCCTGCTCTTCAGATCTTACTGAGGAGAAAGCTGGGATGGATAAGAGGCAACAGCGGTGGAGTTATGGCTAAGGAGACAGAAAGGAGGGAACCCTGCTCAGGGAGGAGAGCAACTGGAGCTGTCCCTGGTCCTGACTGAGCTCCAACCAAGGGCGGGTCAGGTACCACAGAGGTGGGCAGCCCTGGGTATGAAGACAGTTCTAGGTCCTGCGTTCTTCTGGGGGCTGCCACGCTTCCTCTCACACATGTTCAGCCCCACTTTCTACACCTTTCCTCAACCATGTGCAAGTTTGGTCTCCAGAACCCCACACAAGAAACCCATCCTGGGACTTAAAACCACTCGTTATTTCTTCCCTCCTAGCTGGATCCCACCCCACCTCATTTCTGGCCAAAAGTCCCAAGTCCTCTACCTAGGAAACCTTCCATTTCCATCAGAAATGAAAGTTCCTCCATGCAGCCTTCCCTTACTGGTCCCATCCTCCGAGTTTAACATGGTGGCTATGAACTAGATCAGCCTTTGTTCAGACAGAACAAAGCAAGGCAGAACTAGGGGGCTAACACTCAGCATTGTTGAATGTCACATAAATCAATGTATGCATGCATGGATGCTGGGACTAATTTAATGGGTGGCAGTAGGGGAGGAGGTGGCTGATACTACTGCAGTCCCACTCCAACCCAACGGCAATGGCAGTATTATGAATGGCTCCAGCCTAGTAGGCTTGGCTACAGGGAACCCCTTCCACTCTAGGATCTAGAAGTTGGCCCCATAACCCCCTATTAAGGCCTGGATCTAAAAATCCTCCCATCCTTCCCCCAGACCTTCCCACAGTTATGTGATGGTGGCAGAGGAAAGGAAGCAGAGACAGCAATGCAGTGAAGATCCAGGTTTACTCTTTGGGGATAGGGAGGGGTGAGGAGGAGGTGTGGGTTGCACAGGGGGGTGCCCCTCAGTAGTCAGCTGTATAATCTGTGCCATGTAGCCCCCGGCACAGCAGTGTGAATTCCTTCACCATCTCCTTCACCCGCCTCTTGTTCACTCGCTCACTGAAGAAGGGAAGGGAGATCAGGTTAGTACCATCCACCAGCACCACCCCCTCCTCTGGACCCAAGCCCAGGCCCCGCCAGCTCTGCTCACCGAAGGATCTGCTGGCTGAAGGTGTCCTTCTGTTCAGGACTGAGGCGGGCAGAGGGAAAACCAGGTGGCTGCAGTGCCTCCTTGATCCACATGCTCAGGAGGCTGAAGCAGTGTTTGTTCAGAGCAAATAGGATGTCGGCAAAGCAGTCCATGAGGCTGCGGGAGGCCTGGCCCCCAATGGCCTGAGGGAGATGGGTTCTCAGCATACCAGGGCCTTGCCCCTTTTGCAGCAAAGGTGCCTAGCCACACCCCACCCACTCCTGGACAGTTCCTCAGCCAAACTGCACATGACAAGTGAGTGCTGTTTTCTGAGAGCCAGCTGATCCTCACAGCAACCCTAACAACTGTCAGCCATTTAACTGATGAAGAAACAGAGTCAGAGAGAGTTTAGGGAACCAAAGGTTCAAGCTTCCCAGAAGGGCAGCTGCCTCAGCAGTGAGGGCTACCCCACCCCCCTCAAGCCCCCACCAAACACTGGCTCCATCTCACCTCCAGCACTGCTACGAGCAGCATACGGCCATCCTCCTGAACCACTTTCCCCACAGGTTCTACTTCCCCACACCGAGGCAGCAGCTCTGTCTACAGAGGATGGAGAGGCCAGTCAGCCTCAGCTCTTCCCCCATTCTCCCTGGGGACAAGGCCTGCACACCACACCCCTACCCTCTGGAGTCCTGAGCAGGGCAGGGCTGGGTATAGGGGCGGTGGGGGCTCAGGATTCAGCATGGGACTCACAAAGAAGCCACAGGAGGCCTTGACAGTAGGTGCCTCGGGGAACTTGAGGGCCAGCACAGCTGTGGGAGAGGCAGAGGCAGATCAGATGGGGCCTAAGGATCCTTCTGAGGGGGCCCCAGGCCCTCCTGTCCACCTGACCCCACTTACCACACTGGAACACAGCTTTGACATCCAATCGTTCACACAGGAACAAATCTGGCTTCCGCTTCAGAGCCTGCAGGAGGTGGAGCTGGTAAGCCCAGCCCCAACCAGCTCCAAGGACCATCCCCCCTACCCCCCACTCACCTGCCACTCAGGCCCCAACTTCACGCACCATAGGTACAGGCTGCCAAAATCAGCCACCTAGCCATCTCTGGGAGACCCAAACCACCCCACAGTTCAGTCAGCCAGGAGGGGAGCAGCCAGGGGATGCTATGTACATGTATGTGTACATGAATGCACAGGTGTGTGTGAGAGGTTGGAGAGGGTGTCACAATACAGAAAGCTTGGGTCCCAAGTCACTCCCTGAGAAAACACTTATTTTCCCCTCCATCAAGGCCAGACCTCCTGCAGGCTCCAGGTAGCCAGCAGTGACTGCTTTGATTCAGAGGCAGTCAAAGCCCTCTGGATTTGTTAACAGGACAGCAGGAAGAAGAGATGGCAGCTGGATGCGGAGCCCAGTCCAAAAGCCCCCCTCCCACATCCCGCCTGCATTCCTCAGACACCCTCCAGCTTAGGAAGAGGAAAAGTAGGGTAGGAGCCTTGGAGCCACGGACCCACCATTCAACCAGGATACCCTGTGTCCAGGCCCTTCTCAGCCACACCCAGCCCAGGAGTCAGTGCTACCATGTGGGGGGAATGGAAGGAGTACAGGGGGCAGAGAGCCCACCCCAAGTGGTACCGGGACACGAATGGCACATCCTCAGGTCACAGGAGATGCTCTGCACAGCTCCAGCAGTCATCAAACACTGCTGCTCCCCAGCAGCCCCCCAATGCCATAGCATGTAGACCCCTAACCGTCCAGCCCCTTACATACCTTCCACTCCCCCATGTTCACTCATGTGCAAACACCGCCACAAGCACTCTCTCTGGAAACACCCTACTTACCCTCTAACACACCTCTATCACATCCTTTATACATACTTTCCCACATTCGCAACACACTCTGCTACATATTCAGGTCCCCAAACCTCCCCAATCCTCCAGCCACATCCACATGCCGACACCTTCAGACTACCCAGTGCTCCAGCACATGTACTCTCCCGACACACCCATCCACAAACACACACGTCAACGCCCTCACCCCTAAAGATGCACCCTCACAGATACCCACACACGTGTCCATCCAGGCCCAGAACATACTCCCTATTCTCCCCTCCTCCTGCACCCCATCCCCCCACTAGACTATAAGTTCTAAGAGAGTAAGAACTGTGCCTGCCTTTGCTTACCATTATATCCTCAGCATCTAGCAGAGTGCCAAACATGTATTACACACCCAATAAATATTTGTGGAATGATTAAGCAAAGAAACACATCATTTACCCCAACCCACAGGAACCCCCCATTGTCCCCACACTAACCCCATGTCCCCACAGCTCAACACATGTATCTTCCACAACATACAACCTCTAATACAGACATAGTGATACCGTAATATATACTCCTCCACCAAAATACACACTCCCACAGTCCAATACACACACCTCCAACACATATCACTGTTCAAACCCCATTAATGCCTAATGCACATCAACATACAACATTCATCAATGCACGTGCCCACACTTAACACATTTATCCCAACACAACCCACATACCACTTAG